TCGACCCGCGGATCAAACAAGTGTTAGTGGGTTTCGATTTGTTCCTGGGTGTTTTTTTCCCAACCATCCTGTGGTGTTGGATCCTCGTTTTGAAGAGACAGCGCCCCGCGTCCTCCCTCCTCCTCCTTTCATCCCTCCCTCCTCCTCTCACCCGTCATCATCACCATCATCGTCATCATCATCGCCGTCATCAGCACCATCACCCCTCACACGTTTCGTGGCCCCACAGGGAGCTCCACCGAAGGCCCCAGTGCTGCCGGCCGCATGCGTCCCGCACACCCAATTCGGCACACCCCTCACACGTTTCGTGGCCCCATAGGGAGCTCCACCAAAGGGTTCAGCGCTGCCGTCCGCATGCGTCCCGCACACCCAATTCGGCACACCCCTCACACGCTGCGTGGCCCCATAGGGAGCTCCACCGAAGGCCCCAGTGCTGCCGGCCGCATGCGTCCCGCACACCCATTTCGGCACACCCCTCACACGCTTGATTCATGGCCCCATTGGGAGCTCCACCGAAGGTCCCAGTGCTGCCGGCCGCATGCGTCCCGCACACCCAATTCGACACACCTATCACACGTTTCGTGGCCCCATAAGGAGCTGCACCGAAGGCCCCAGTGCCGCCGCCCGCGTGCGTCCCGCACACCCAATTCGACACACCTATCACACGTTTCGTGGCCCCATAGGGAGCTGCACCGAAGGCCCCAGTGCCGCCGCCCGCGTGCGTCCCGCACACCCAATTCGGCACACTTCTCACACGTTTCGTGGCCCCATAGGGAGCTGGCGGTCCCGACAGCTTCCATAGGGCCGATTTCTTCGTCGTCGTCGTCCGTCGTCGACGTCCGACCTGCGCGCGTCGCGGGGGCTCCGCGTAGCGCGGTGCCCGCAGCATTGAACTTTGCAGTGGGCGGGCAAAGAGGAAGGAAAAGAAGGGGAGGAATCGGGCGCGATCCTCGTGTGGGGCGTGCCGACATGGGCGGCTCGGCGCGCGGGCGCTGCCGTCGGGGTTCCCAGGGAAACTCCGTGCGGAGCCTACGCTCAGTATCACGAGTTCTCAGAGTCAGGCAGACCCAAACCATTCACAGTCGTATGCGTTTACACTGGGCGACTCCATGCTCGCAGTCATGCAAATAAAATCCATCGCACGCATCTTCAATCAGAATCAGACTCGCTCGCGCTTAGACGCGCCCGCGCTCAAGCTTTCATACTCAGATCTATCGGTTTCATTCGTGTTGTGTACCTATCACACAATTCGGCACACCCCTCATACGGTTCGTGACCCCATAGGGAGCGCCACCGAAGAATATATTCACAATTGCGGTATTCACAACTGCGTATGGTTGGGTCTTTCGCCTGGCTAATTGGAGGTTAAGGAGAAGAAAATGGAGGAGGAGGAGGAGCAGGAGGGGAGAAACAGAGGAGGTAGCAGAGGGTAGCATATGGAGGTGAATGGATTTGCAGGCGTTCCTGGGGCTTTTGCGCGGGTGCGGTAAGGGGAGGCATGAGGAAGACGACGACGGTGACGACGACGAAGAGGAGCAGCAAAAGGCCCAGCAGGATGATGAACAGCAACAGGAGCATGTGGACGAGCAGGCTGGATGCGGAGGCGGAAGTGAAGTTGAGTGTGCACTAGGTGTTGGCGTCGTGTGCTGACGTAGGCGCGATGCGCTCTCTTCTCTCATTCTCTTCCTCTTTCTTCACCCCCCCTTCCTTACTCGGTCTCCGCTTCTTCCTAGTGGGGAGCAATGATGCAGTACAGGACCAAGGCTGCCCTTGCATCCTGGCCGGTGCGCTCAGTCCTCTGCGCTTTTTGAGTGCCCCCCCTTGTCGCTAGAACTTGTTCACTCGATCCGATTTGATGATGGCTTCACCAGGCTCGATTGCCGGTGGATGTGTGTGACGCGGCCCGATGCGAGTGGGGCTTAGCTTTGTGCTCTGGCGCGGCCGATCTTTCCGTGCTTACGCGGCCCGATTCGATTCACGTTCCGATTCAAGCCCGTTCTGCTGTTTTTTTCCAACCCGCGGGCCCCAGAGTTCGCGACCCCTCCCCCAGGAGCAGATGATTCATTCAGTGCTTCCAGCGCACATTCAAAGCCAGGGCATTTTCTATCAGGGGTTCGGGAGATGCATGGGAAATGTTCTGGCCCACGTCTGCAGTTCTCTTGGGTGCGCCAAAGCGGTGGATTGCCAAAGTCGCTTTTGACGGGGCCCTGAAGAAGGTGGAGGTAGAACAGGATGCGGAGAAGAGCGAATGAATGCGATTGAGGGAATGATAGAGGCCGAGGAAGGGGATGGGGGAAGATTCAAGGAAGGTGTTTTTTTATTGTTGTGGCCCATCTCTTCCGAACCGATTGCCAAACAAGGGTGAACACTCAGGGCATGACCAACATTTGGTCCAGATGGGCGACGCGAAGTAGCAAGACAGCGACTGCCAGCAAGCAGCGCTCTTCTCAGAAGCCGGCGGGATCTCTCAGAAGACCTCGCGCTTCTGAACGTGTTCTGCGCCTACGGGGAGGCTCCGAGAGTCTCTCAGGAGGCCGGAGGCCTTCCGGGGCTTTCTGATGAGGCCCGCCCCCTCTCGCTGCACACCTGGGCGCGCCCCCAAGATTCCTGGAAGAAGGAAGAGGAATCGGAGCAGGAGGAGTGTCTTGGGGTCCCAGGGACCTTGTCGGGCGTCGTAGGTGCTTCGGGAGAGCCTTTTGTGGCCTCCTGGGAGCCCCTTGGGGCCATCTTGGGGCCTCTTGGAGCCTCTTGGAGTCGGCAGCGCCCTCGATTTCACGTGCTGTGTGTGCGCCTCATGCCTGCTCTGCTTCTGCCCTGGAGCTGGTCTGCAGCGGCCGGCGGCGCCGCAGGCTTCGCACGGGCCTTCCCCTGCGTGGTTGGCTTCTCTAGGGTTAAGTCGGGCCTGTCCCCCTACAGGGGGATGTTCGACGAGAAATGAAAAATACCACCGGAATAGGCAAAAAATAGTCCAAAAATAGTCGGGGGACTATGTGTTGAGTATTTGTTTGACCTTTTGGGGGATTTGGGGCGTATTTTTTTATTTTTTTCGTCGAAAATCCACCTGTAGGGGGACAGGCCCGACATAACTCCAGGGACCATGCGCATGCTGAACGTCTTGAGCCGTCGTGGCGTCGACAGAGCCCACGAGGCATCCGCCCTGGCCGTTCAGGGGGCACTGTTGTTTTGGGTTCGGTGGGTTGGGTACACGGATGGATTTTCCAGCCATCTTCACGAGGGTAGTTGCCATACTGGGCCATACCCTTTCAACGAAGCGAAGGACTAGTTGCTGATGATGGCCACGAAATCAGTGTTGGCAAGCCAGTAGATGATTATTTCGGCACCGAGTAACTGTCTCGTTGGACAAGCCAGTAGAGGACAGCCCGATAGCAACGTATACGTGCCTCCCTAGTGCTAAGCATTTTGAGCACAACTCCAGCTCCTCAACTCCAGAACGTCCGAAGGCGCTAAAGTGAGTAACATTCCACGTGCGGGACATCGGGATCATCGGCACTGAGCTAAACATGGCTTGAGTCAAACGTGCCACAGAGGGGCATCATGGGACGAAGAGAGCGCAGGAAAGGGATCGAAGAGGAGGACGAGGGTTATGATGTTCCAACCTACTTTAGCCTTGATCACCAGAGAGAATTTCGAGCACCCAAGAAGTACCGAAACTCTAGGGTGTTCACGAGTCGGGCCCTGGGAGACACTCGCCCGACACTGTTTCGACACTCTTTCGACACTTTTGCGGGTGCTCGAAATTATTTCTGGGATGTGGTCCTTAAGTACGATGGCAGCAACATGAGACGAGGGACGCAGGGGGGAGAACCCCTTGCCGAGTAGTGCCTCCGCCCTGTCCCCATCCCTGCAGCCACTGCCGCGCCTGGAGCTTCCGTCAGCCGTCTTGGCTCCTCTCCCGTCCGGTTGCCTCCTCCTCCTGCTCCACCTCCTCCTCCTCTTACGTTGCATCTTCGGGGGGGGCCTTTCCTGGGCTATGTATTGCGGCCTATTCCTGTACTCTGACGTGGGCACGACGCGGATTCAACACAGACTCGACACAGATTCGACTCTCTCGACCTGGATTCGACGCGGACCCGACGCGGGCCATGAGCGCGACAGGGGCACACGAGGCCCTCCTGAGGGTGCAGCACAAGTTGTCTTGCCCGTCTTGTTGTCATCCCCAGGTTTCGCACATGGGGTCGGAGCAGATGACGCCGGAAGATCGCGACGCATCGCCGATGCATCGGCGATGCACCGGCGGTGCATCGGCGATGTGGCTCGATGTGGGGCCCCATGTTCTCCACGCCGACGTCGCCGATGCATCGCCGACGTTGCCAGTGCATTGCCGATGCATCGCCGATGCATTCGCGATTCATCGCCGATGTATCGTCGATGCGGCGAGATCCCCCAACCAATCTACTCGGACACCATCCAGGAGGCCTCTAATTCAGCAGGCCGCTCTGCCGCCCTCGCCGCTTGCCCTCCGCCCCCTCCCTGCGCCCCTGCCTTACCCATTTGGCTCTCCGCCCCCCCGCTTGCCCACCATCTCGTCTTTGTACAGTCAACCCTGATAGCAAGGATGATCGACGTCCCGAGGACACCCTTGCATACTTGCCTCTTCTGTCATCTTCAATCCATCCTCAGCAACTTTCGATGGTCAGCCCCGCTCGAAGAGCCTAGGCATGGGCGTCCAAGGTCCGTGCATCTTTACTGCGCGACCTTCTATATGGCTTGACTGTAGGTCTGCCAGATGGAGTCAGAGCAGATGGGGTCGGACAATCGCGCCGCGTCGCCGATGCGTCAGCGATGCGGCTCGATGCGGAGCGCGAGTTTTTCCACGCCGACGTCGCCGATGCATGGTCGATGTCGCCGATACACCGCCGATCCATTGGTGATGCATCGTCGATGCGGCGCGATCCTCCGACCCCAATCAACTCCGATCCCATCTGGGGGGCCTCTGGTCCCTCAACCTCCCCGTCGGCCTTCCATCCCCCCCTCTCTCCATGACCGTCGGCGCCCACTGCACCGCCTCCATGTTCCGCGCGAGCCTGGTGGCGGCGCTGCTGCCGTGCGCCACCAGGGTCCATGCGCTGTCGATGCTGCAGGGCGCGGCGGTGCCTCCACAGCCTGGAGGCGGCACTGCCGCGTCCCTGGCCGCCGCGGGCCACGGCGGCGAGGACGTCGACTGCCTCGTCGTCGTCCGTACGCACAGGCCCATGCCGGGAATGCTGGAGCGCTTCCGGGAGCACACGGAGGACCTCCGGCGACACTTGCCTTCCGCGCGCCTGGTGATCTCGGTGGACACTTCCGGGCCCGATGGCCCCGCCGTGCTGGAGGAGGTGCGCCGCCACGCGCCGGGCGCAATCCTGCACTCGTACGGCTGGGGTGACGTCGTCGCCAGGTACTCTCAGAGGAGAAGCAGGTACAATGGAGGCCCATGTCAAGAAACACCCTGCTTGCCTCCAAAGTGCCCTGGGCTTCCTGGGATTCGAGGGTTTTGCTGTGGAAAGCGTGACGCTCCCACCAAACAACAATGGACGTCCCGGGCTTTCAGGGTCGGGTTTCTGGCGGAAGGTCTCGTGTGGTCGAGCCCCTACTGCACGGGGAGCAGCGGCATGGGTGCCTTCTGCCTGCACGATCGACGTGGGCACGGGAAGACCGGGGACGAAAGCTGACAGCTGTTCTCGCTCACTGGGAACAGGGCTCGCGATCGGTGCCGCCGCGGGCGTCGTCACTCGAGACGGAAGGCCGCCCGCCCATCAGAGGCCGCTGTCGGTTTGGGGCAACACATGTTGTTTGGCGTCGTAGCTGTTTGTCCGTTCCCACCCCGGACGCCCAAATCGAGGGGCCGATTTTCCACCACCACCGCCAGAGGTAGGACGGGAGAGAAGGGAGGATGGGGAGGTTCTCGTCTTCCTCCTCCTCCTCCTCCTGCTCCTCCTCCTGCTCCTCCTCCTCCTCCTCCTGCTCCTCCCCCTGTTCCTCCCCCTGCTCCCGCTCCTGCTCCCGCTCCTGCTCCCGCTCCTGCTCCCGCTCCTGCTTCTCCTCCTCGTCCTCTTCCTCCTCCTCCTCCATCTCCTCCTCCTCCTCCTCCTCCTCCTCCTCCTCCTCCTCTCCTCCTCGCCCGTGGTGGGCGGGTGGTGGACCATCGGCCCGTCGCAGCTGTCGGGTTTCCCCAGGTACCCCGCACTGGCCGCGCTGGAGTTCGCGAGCGCGTGGAGCTCAGGAGGGGAAAAAACACACAGACACAATTAATCGTCCACTCCCAGGAAAATATGGAAACTATGGGAAGTGAGGGGGAAGACAGAAGCCCAGAAAATATGGGAAAATATGGGGAATATTTTTATTTGTGTGTACTTATTTGTGTGTCCTGGGGCCCCTTCAGGAGCTTCCACACGGAGCCCCTGCTCCTGGCCGTGGAGCACGCGGGGCGGGTGCTGGGCCTCGCGGGGGGCGCCCGCGTCTGGGCGCTGGAGGACTCGAGCGCAGCGCGGAGGAGGAGGAGGAGAAGGAGGAGGAGGAGGAGGAGGAGGAGGAGGAGGAGGAGGAGGAGGAGGAGGGAGGAGGAGGGAGGAGGAGGAGGAGGAGGAGGAGGAGGAGGAGGAGGGAGGAGGAGGAGGAGGAGGACACGCACGCGTGGGCGTCTGGGCTGGTCTGTTGTTTGTTTGCTTTCTTCTTCTTCTTCTTCTTCGGTGGCAAAGCATGGGAGCCTGGTATTATCAAGGGCAGGAAAAAAAGCGCCCCTACCCCGGTTTGCGAGGAGCTGTGCGCTGGAGCTCCTGTGGGCTGACAGGGTAAACCCTGCGTGATGTGCCGCGTCCTGGCGGCTCTAGGCTTTGAGGGCTCCCAGGAGGTTTACAGACCACGCACTTGTAACCCAGGGTAGGGTCGTTTTAGCGTTGGCCAGCGTCGATCAGCGCCTGGGAGTCGATGAGACGGCGCCGATTCAACGTCGGCCAACGTCGATTAGCGTCGACTTAGCGTCGACTGGCGTCGACTTGGCGCCGATTCGCAAGAGCCACCAAGGTGGTATGGGAGGCTCCCACGAGTTGCCACTGGAGTTTTTTCGTCAGACTCAGACGAATGTACTTGCATGGCATCTCCCCCTTTCCCCTCCCTTCGTTCCCCCCCCCTCCGCCGCCTCTTCGAGCGGTGCTGGGCCGAAGAGGCGTGCAAGCGAGTTCCCTCTCGCGTGAAGAGCAGATGCCCAGTCGGGCCTCGCCAAGCCCTCCCCGCCCCCTCTCCTCTCCGTGCAAGTAAACCGTTTTATGAAAAGAGCCAAAAAGGCACACAAACATCCATTGTCAAAAGTTTGCGCGGATGTCTTGGATCGTGACCGAATTTTCCCCGGTGCGCGCTCCGTGCGCCAGGGGGGGGGCTCCAGCGCCGATCCACGAGCTCTGCGCGGACTCCAGAATGTTGATGTTTATCTAATTTCGGGGGTGGACAGAACCCCCAACAGTGACACGTCGATTAGTGAACTGTCCGTTTTCGGTTCTGGAGAGGGTGCCGTGGCCGCTATTTTACTGGCTTGCGCCCGCCAGGTTTGGGCCTCGGGTCGTTTTCACTAAACCACGTTTTACTAAATGGGGGTCTGTCCATGCCCCATAATCGTACCGTTCCCGGGGGAGGGGGGGAACCTGGAGCCCCTCCCACACCCCTGGCGTCGAGCCCGCGGGCCCAGTCGGTCCTCGCGCAGGCCACCAAGCTGGGATGGTCGTGCCGCGTCGGTGTTCGCCTCCTCGGATCATCGAGGAGAAATGAGCTCTCGACCCTCATACACCTTAGGCGATGCTTAAGAAAACCTAAGTTTTCGGCCAGAGTCTCGATTGTTCTTAATGTTTCAATGTAAATCCTAAGATTTGAAGGGGCATTCTGGATGTTTATTTACATTCTGAGACTATCAATTTCTTAACCCATGATTTCTAAAGCATTTCGCAGGGTGTAACTTGATGAAGACGTAGCCTCACTGAGGTCCCCGTCTTTTCGCGCTCGGGATCACAATCCTGGGCGGTCTGGTTCGATGCACCTGCAGAACCACCCCCTATCCCTACACCTTAGGCGATGCTTAAGAAAACCTATTTTTTTGGCCAGAGTCTTGATTATTCTTAACTTTTCAATGTAAATCCTAAGATTTGAATGGAAACTTTAGGGTTAGTTTCAAGTTCTGAGACTATGAATTTCTTAACCCATGATTTCTTAAGCATTTCGCAGGGTGTAGATCCCTCCCAAAGGGTTACAGTCGGCCCGGATTAGTGGGTCGACCCTGTCAGCTCAAGGGTACCCTTGTGTCCTGTGCTTCGCGACGCGTGCCTTCTCACACTCCTGTGGCGATGTGGCCCTCGGAAGGGTCTTGTGCCCTTTCCGTGTCCTGTCCAACGAAGTCCGACTGCAGGGGTATTTTTTGTTGGTCGCTCATCGGAGGACGACGTGTTCTTCTGCGGCGGCCTGAGCGCCTTCGTGTCCGCCTACGAGGCCGACCCGTCCGACCTGCTCGGCATCGGGGACACCCCGACCGGCCACTGGCTTCACCGCCAGGCGGGCTCGGCCGCCTTCCTGCGGCGGTGCTCCAGGGCAGCCTTTTGGAGCGGAGGGGCGCTGTTCGGGGGGCCCCAAACAGGGTGGTGACCACACCGTGCGGTGATTCGGGGTCACCGCACGGTCTTGGGACTCGAGGCCCTCTCGCAGGACGTCTCGGGCGACAGGGGCCTCCGGGGTCCCAAGACCGTGCGGTGACGGACCGTGCGGTGAGGTCTTGGGAGATTTCGAGGCCACCACACGGTCTGTCACCGCACCGTTTCGGGACTCCAAAGCTGTCGGCGAGCGAGGGGGTGCAGTGCGAAGAAGAAGGCCTTCCCAGAAGGCAGCGGAACTTCTCACAGGCCCTCCCGCCTTCCGGGCAGTGGTTTGTGTCCTCGGGGAAGTCTCAGGAAACTTCAGGAGGCCACGGGACTTCCGAACCTGCTGAGGAGGCCGTCTCCTTCTCACTTCCCCCCCTCGCTCGCCGCCGAGCAGGAGAAGGCGTGCGCACATACATGTCCGGAGGTCCGCGCCGAGCCGCGACAGTTTACGCTCCTGCAGTTGTTCCCGGTTCCTCTACAATATGTATCCAGTCCGTCGGCGATGTATCATCCAGGGCCCCCCCCTCCCCCCCCCAAGGTCAATGGGATCGCCCCTCTCCCGCTCGCTGGGTGGGCACGCCCGTAAGCCCCGCGAAAGGGATCGCCCCCCATCCCCGTGGCTGTGCCCCTTTGGGCGTGGCGTGGTGGAGGGGAGGGAGGGCGTTGTCGTCGTCGTCGTCGCCAACGTCGTCAACGCCAACGTCAACGCCATCGTCAACGCCAACGTCAACGTCGTCACCGTCGTCGTCGGCGTCGTCATCATCATCATCATCACCAGCATCAGCATCAGCATCAGCATCAGCATCAGCATCAGCATCATCGTCGCCATCAACATCAACATCATCACCAGCATCATCGTCGCCATTATCATTACCATCATCATCATCACCATCACCATCATCATCATCAGCATCGTCATGGCTATCATCAGCATCATCAGTATCGTCGCCATCATCACCATCTGCATCAGCATCATCATCATCACCATCAGCATCTTTATCATCATCATCAGCATCATCATCATCACCATCATCAGCATCATCATCATCATCATCATCGCCATCATCATAATCGTCGTCGTCGTCGTCGTCGTCGTCGTCATCATCATCATCATCATCATCATCATCATCATCATCATCATCATAGTCAGCATCATCACCATCATAATCTTCCGTCGGCGTCGTCGCCTTCCGTCGGCGTCGGCGTTTTCGTCGCCTCTCCCCATAATCCATCTTATCTGGATTGGGGCGTGAACCCTCGACCCCGGATCATGTACCGCCGATGCAAGTTCTATGTTTCCTTTTCCTGAGGCGGTCCCGCCCTGACGCTGACCCTCTGGCGTAAGAGTGACCCTTCGCCGGAGTAACCTTCGGTGCGGGCCCACTAGGGTCCCCCGATCGCCGAACGCGATGCGGTAGTGGCGTCTGGCGCGATCCTGTTTGGTCCCCCCGCGGCCCCGAGACAGCCGCGCATCGAAGGTCACTCTGACCCAGGGTCACTCTAGCGTGTAGTCGAATGTACCCCGGATCATGCATCGCCGATGCAGGCTCGCTGTCTCCCCCCCGAGCAGGCCCAGCATTCCCAGTTTCGATGCTGAAGCCGCGCGCGGATGACGAACTCTGGTTTCGATCCGGCGTCTCCGACTCTTGCCGATTCCCGTTCCGATCCCGCAGGAGTTGGGACGAGGGGAGGAGGGAGGGAGGGAGGGAGGAGGAGGAGGCGGAGGAGGAGGAGGAGGAGGAGGACGACGACGAACAGGTGGAGGAGGAGGAGGAGGAGGAGGATGAGGAGGAGGAGGAGGAGGAGGAGGAGGAGAGGGAGGAGCTGGAGGAGGGCCCAGCCCTGGCGTGGGCCCTCAGGTACCCCGCGGAGGTGCGTCTGGCGGGGCCGGAGGTGGTCCAGCGCTTCTCCGCGCGGCTGCTGGAGCAGCTCGGGCGGCAGGCGGAGGAGGCGCGCCCGCCCTTCGCCCTTCGCCCTGACACGTCGATTAAGGAATTGGCCGCTTTCGGTTCGCGAGGGGGCGTCGCGGCCGTCATTTCTGCGGGTCCAGGTGCGTCGGTTTCGGCCCCAGGCCGTTTTCATTTTAAGGGGAGGTTTACGAAATGGAGGTTTGTCCGCCGCCGAGTTTGGGGGACCATCTAACGGAACTGTTCGACTCCAGGTCGATTCAAGTTGGATTCCAGTTCGATTCAGATTCGGCTCCAGTTCGACTCAAGTTCGACCGATGTTCGACCCAGGTTCGACTCAGGGTCGGCTCAGATCGACGGACGTTCGGCGCAGCTTCGACGCACGAGTGGAGCGAGTGTCTCCAGGAAGGTCCTCAGAATGACTCATTCTGGGGACCTTCCTGGAGACACTCGCCAACTTGGCCGCTCTCGCTGGCCGCGCCCCGCCTGCAAGGTGTCGACAGGGCCTTCCAAGGCCCGTGCGTCCTTCTCGTGCGTCCTTCTTCCGCGGGTTGGCCGTATGGAGGGCTATGTTTCAGCACTCTGGAAGCCCAGGGAAGAGCAGCAGGAGGAGGAGGAGGAGGAGGAGGAGGAGGAGGAGGAGGACTGGGGGCCAGGAGCGTCCCTCGGGGTGCTCCCTGCTGGATCCCCCGAGGGCAGCAGCGCCGCCTCCTCGATCCTGCCCGGTCTCGGAGGAGGCAGATGTACCCATACCCATCGGTCGTTGAAAGTAGGTCTTTTTGGATTCCCGGATTCCACCCATCGGTCGTTGAAAGTAGGTTTTTTTGGGTTCCCGGATTCCAATCTACTTTGAGCGCCTTCCTATTTCGCTGATCGAGAGGCTCCACTTTTTCCGTCCTCCCAAGGGGGGCGGGGGCGGGCGGACGCCCAATCTATGTTCAACGCCTTCCTGCTTCATGTCTCTACCTGCTTCTTCCGACCGATGGATACCCCGTACCACTACCCTTCCCTCGTTCCTTCCTTTTTGGGGTGTCTTCGTCGCCACCGCTGGATTCGCCTCGAAATTGGGTTCCCTGGGAAAGGTCCAGGGAGTAGTTGTATCGGTATTTCTGTGATTTCCCAAGGATCCTCTTCGATCCCCCTCGATCCGCGATCCTCCTCGATCCTCGCTCCCCCTCGTGCTCGAAGCCTCAAGGCTTCGGGCATGCTCGCGCGACTGTGCGCCGAGAGGCCCCCGACACAGCGTGTGGGGGGGTGTTCGGGCTGTCTGGAGGAAAAGGTGTGCCAGTTTTCTGGTGCATTGGGACGTTTCGGGCTCCTGCTGGAGCGCTCCTCGGCCGAATGCTTGCGGTGGCACGCGCGCCACGGGACGGCGGCAGTGAGCTCCTTTTTGCGCTCGGTGAGCTCGTCGCTTCCAGGGAGCGCCCAACTCTGACCTTCCCGGAGTGCTAGGAAACATCACCAGGACCTCGATATCTGAACTCCCATCGACCTTTCTTCGGCGGCCTGGAGCAACCGATAGGTCTGGAGGGCTATTTTTCAGCGTTCGGGTGACGTCTAGATTCAAAACCCGCATAGCAGGGACGAGCGACTTTCCGAGGCTGCCGTTGCAGCCTTCCCCTGCGGCCCACCCTTGGCCGCTCTCGCTGGCCGCGCCCCGCTCGCAGAGTGACGGCTCACGTCGCCCTGGCGCCAGCCTTCGTGCCGTCTTCTTGCTCGCCAGGGCCTCGCCATCATCACCGGGAGGAGGGAGGCGGAGGGAGGAGGAACAGGAGGAGGAGGAGGAGGAGGAGGAGGAGGAGGAGGAGGAGCACCAGCATCCCAAGCAGTGGCAAGGCGTCCTGGCTTGCCTGTAGGCCCACCATTGAGTGTTCGGAGAACCTTCTCATTGTGGAGCCGGATTCTCTCGTGCCGCCGATGCCTCGCCGATGTATCGGCGATGCGGCGCGATTCTCCGACCCCATCTACTCCGACCCCCTCTGGGAGGCCTCTAACGGCGCGAGCCCCTCAGACCTCCCGGGGTGCGCTTCGAGCAGAGTGTCGAGTCGAATTCGGGGCGTGACTGCGAGTAGCTTCCCAAAGGTTCGACGAGAGTGAAAGCTCGGGGCTTAAGAGACGGGCGTCAATGGAAACGGGGGTCAGCCAGAGCGCCGGATGTTGCAGGATCCTGCAGAGCTAGGGGGGCACTGACCCGGGCTTGGGTACAGGATCCTTCAGGATCTTGCACGATCCTGCAGGATCATGCAACGCCTGACTGACCTGGGTCTGGATTGACCCGGGAGGAGGAAGAGGAGGAGGCGGAGGAGGAGGAGGATAAGGAAGAGGAGGAGGCGGATGAGGAGGAAGCGGATGATGATGATGATGATGATGATGATGATGATGATGATGATGATGATGAGGAGGAGGAGGAGGAGGAGGAGGAGGAGGAAGAGGGAGAAACTGATGATGATGATGCTGATGATGATGATGACGATGATGATGGTGATGGGGCGGGTGGTCACGGGGAGTGATCTCGATGGGGGGCTGCAGAGCGAGGGCCCCAAAGGGACCTCTTAAGGCTCCCTGGAGTGCCAATAGGATCCAACAGGGGCCCTGAAAGTCACCACCCACCAAACCACCCCAACCCAACCCGAAGGCCCAAATTTATCCTCGATTTCCAGTGGGGGGGGGTCGGGGAACGTTGAGAAAACACATGGTATCCGTACCCCCCCCAACCCGAAATTCGGGTCAAATTCGGGTCTTCGGGTTGGGTTGGGGTGGTCTGGTAGGTAGTCAGAAAGGCCCTTTCAGGGCCCCTTTCCTCCACCCCCCTCGAGGTCGCCCCACATTACCACCCGCCCGAACTTCCATCGTCTCACCTCGATCCTCGATCCTCCGCAGAGCCCGGGCGTGCCTCAGGGCGTCACCGCCTGGAGCGAGATGTTCGCGGCGACGGCGTGCAGGGCCGGCGGATTCCTCTGCGCGGGGCTGCGGGACGAGCACGTGGGCGTGCACGGAGACAAGGCCGCCCCGGCCGGGTGCGTCGCGTGGCCATTCTCTCGGGGGCGGAAAGGAGGGGGGTGATGACCAGGGGGGGGGGGGATGTCATGGCGGGGGCCATGATATTTCCCCAGATTTCATGGCGCCTCTTCTTTCGGGGGTAGACAGAACCCCCAACAGTGACACGTCGATTAATGAATTGTCCGTTTTCGGTTCTCGAGAGGGCGCCGTGGCCGTTATTTTCCAGGCTTGCGCCCGCCAGGTTTGGGCCTCGGGTCGTTTTCACTAAACCACGTTTTACTAAAGGGGGGTCTGTCCATCCCCGATTCTTATTTCATTACGTCCTTGGCCCCCCCGCTGGGCCGCGCACATGCCGCCGGTCATGATTTGCACCCCCCCCTCTTGGACACCCCCCTCTTGGCCGCTCCCGATTCTCGGGAGCCTTGGGACTGGGGTCAATGCAAACGGGGGTCAGCCATAGCGTCGGATCTTGCAGGATTCTTCAGAGCCAGTGGTGCACTGGCCCGGGTGAGTGCGCAGGATCCTGCACAGCCTGACTGACCCGGTTAGGATCGACCCGGGTCAGTAGATCTGCGATTCTCGTCTTCTTCGTCGCTCTCGTCGTTGGGCTATTCCTTCTCCTCGATCTCCCTCTCCCCCTTCCTCTTCGATCGGGGAAATTGAAAACCTCGACAAGAGGTCTTCGGCAGTTTCTGGCCAAACGGAGCTCGCTGGGTCCCGGGACCGCCAAGAAACGGCTCGGGATGAGAAACACGTCCCAGGGACGTGGTCTAGGCCTCTGGTGATCCGCGTTGTGGACAAATTTCCATACGTCTTAGATCTGCATCCTCCTCCTGTGTCTTGGCGTTGCCCTCCTATTCCAACGCCATCGTTTTGGCCATGCGAAACACATGCTGTCGCTGGCGAGCGACCATGATGCCCGCACCTTGCCTAATTAGTCTCGGTAGCGCACGGAGGGCACTCCCTAGTTCACCAGAGGTGCCGCCGCCAAAACTCGGACCACCGAGTCGAAGATTCTACATCAAGGGCATCTTTGTGCGGCACCGTCGCCAGATATCCGTTTGCGCAGTCAAGGACTCGATAGTACCGTTGGTTCGTGAGCTGTTCCACGCGTCCATCGTCGTCGTCGTCGTCGTCGTCGTCGTCGTCGTCGTCGTCGTCGTCGTCGTCGTCGTCCATCCGCTCTCGACGTCGTCGTCGTCGTCGTCGTCCTTCGGCCGTCGTCCGTCGTCCGTCGCCGTCGTCGCCACCGCCGCCGCCGCCGTCGTCGCCGCCGTCGTCGTCGTCGCCGCCGTCGCCGTCGTCGTCGGGGGCGCCGCTCCTCCGGCGCCGGGCGAGCGGAGGGGCTTGGCCCAGAAGTTTGGTCTGCGGGAGAGGTCTTGATCCAAGAGGCGCAGAGCCCCGAATCATCAGGGGTAACTCGGGTCAGGGATAACTCGGGTTCCTTTTTCGGGAATCCAAACCCGAGTTACCCCGGACCCGAGTTACCCCGGATAACTCGGGCGCTCAAGAGCCCCGAATCATCAGGGGTAACTCGGGTCAGGGATAACTCGGGTTCCTTTTTCGGGAATCCAAACCCGAGTTATCCCGGACCCGAGTTACCCCGGATAACTCGGGCGCCCAAGCATACAACTTCGCCGGCCCCCAAGGATTTACCTGACAGAGTCTGTGCGCCAAACGACTGCCCAGGACAAGCGATCCCAGCACAAGGCCGTAACATGTTGCAGTCAGCACCGCGAGCATCTGGCAGCCGGGACTGCTCAATAGTGTCTCCCAGCCTTCCTCGCCATCCCTGGGGGGGGCTGCGCCATCCCTGGGGGGAGGTCCGCGATCTTCGAAAGTGGCGCCACTGTCGAGGGCTTCTGGGGGGTCCAGCGGAGCGACGTCATACGCAGACCTAAGTTAGGCCTTGCCGTCCCTGGGGGGTTGCGACTTGCGAGCTTCTTGCAACCTCTGAGGACCGCTGGGAAGTCCAGCGGGGTGACGTCGTACACGGACCTAAATTTAACATTGCCGTCCTTGGGGGGGCTGCGATCTCAGAATTTGTCGCACCTGTCGAGTGTTGCTGTGGGGTCCAGCGGAGTGACGTCACACGCTGACCTTGATGAGACCTCGCCATTCCTACTGGGCTGCGATATGCGAACTCCCGCCACCTTCGAGGGCTGCCATCATACGCGGACCTAAATTGGACCTCGCCATCCTTGTGGGACTGCGATCTGCGACGTTGTCATCACTTCCGAGGGTAGCTCGGGGGTCCAGCGGAGTGATGTCCTACGCCGTCCTAATTAGACCGCGCCATCTCCCAGGGATGGCGACAGGTTGGCAGATCCCATCCCCCCAGGCTGAGTGTGCTGCGATCTGCGAAATTGTCGCCTCTTTCGAGGGTTGCTGAGGGGTCCAGCGGAGAAGCGTCATACGCGGACCTACAATAGGCCTCGCCATTCCTGCGGGGTTGGGATTTGCAAAATCGTCGCTCTTTCGCTCTTTCGAGGGTTGCTGCGGTGTCCAGCGGAGAGAGACGTCATGCGTGGGCCTACAATGGATCTCGCCATCCCTGGGGGGCGGCGGTCTGCGAAGCTGCTGTCATTTTTCGGGGACCGGCAGGGAGTCCAACGGAATGACGTCACGCGCGGACCTCAAAATGACCTCGCCATCCTTGAGGAGCTGCGATCTGCGAAGCCGTCGCCACTTTAAAAAGGGCTGCCGGGGGGGCCCAGCGGGCCGACGCCGCACGCGGACTGGCACTGGGCCTCGCCGTCCCTGGGGGGAGGGGTGGCCCGTGAAAGCGTCGCCACATTCGGGGGCTGCTGGGGGCCCTTCAGCCCTCCTCCTCCTCCTCCTCCTCCTCCTCCTCCTCCTCCTCCTCCTCCTCTTCCTCCCCCTCTTCCTCCTCCTCCTCCCCCTCCTTCCCTCCTCCCCCTCCTCCCCCCTCCTCCCCCTCCTCCCCCTCCTCCTCCTCCTCCTCCTCCTCCTCCTCCTCCTCCCCCTGAGTTAGACCTCGCCGTCCCTGCGGGGGAACCCGGCGGGCGAGCTCGCCCGCGCCCTCGCTTTTTCGGTTGCGCCGGCCATGAGCAGCTGGCCCTTTTATCCAGCGCCGAGGCGACGCGGCGCGGGCCGCGTTTTGCGTGTCCAGTGTGCCAGTGGAGAATCGTCGCCACTGCTGCTGTCGCGTGCCCTCTTCGGCCCCTGTTCGGTCGTGCTCCTCACCCTCGTGCCCACGGCGTGTGCTCTTCGAGCCTAAGGCCCTCCTCCCCCATCCCCCTCCCCCTCCCCCCTTCCCCCTCCCCCCTCCCCCTCCTCCTCCTCCCTCCCTCCTCATCCTCCTCCCTCCTCCTCCTCCTCCTCCGCCTCCTCCTCCTCCTCCTCCTCCTCCTCCTCCTCGCCTCCGCCCATCGTCCTTGTGCTGCTGTCCTGTGAGCTGCGCAGCGCGCGTGACGCCCATCTGGCCGGCGCAAAACCAGTGGCACACCCTGCGTTGCCACCAGCCATACTATTGAGAGTCAGGTATTTTGTTGGTACGTCACAGGGTAATGTGGACTAGATCATCGCGGTCTGCAGTCGTCTTGTTCCTCCTCCCGAATCCTTCCTCTTCTCTCCTCCTTCCTCCCCTCGCCTCATTTTCCCCCAACCTTCGGGTTATAGCTTGGAATCGAGCGTCGCGGTCTCTAGCCTTTATCCTTTTGCCTCCCTCCTGCCATCTCCTCCCACTTCTTCCCATTATTGCCGACATGCCTGCTGTTTCTCCACCCCTGGGAGTGCTGCGATCTGCGAAGCAGTAGCCACTTTCGAGGGCTGCTGGGGTGAAAGCGCTGTGCGGGCCTGTTGGGATTCCGACTGTAGTCCTGTGCGGCCTGTTGTTCATTCATGGGGCGCGGCAATCTGCGAAATTGTAGCCACTTTCGGAGTTTGCTGAGGGGGTCCAGCACAGCGCGGGCCTAATCACGGGGATTCTGATTCGACTTCGCCACCCATCGGGGCTGTGATTTACAAGACCGTTGCCACTGTCGGGGCTACTTAAGGGGTCTAGCACAGTGCGGGCCTGCGGGGATTCAGATTAGAACTCGCCATCACTGGGGGGGGGGTACGATATGCGAGATTGTGGTCACTTTCGAGGGGTGCTGGGGGGTCGAGCACAGTGCGGGCTTGCGGGGATCCCAATTCGACCTCCCCCATCGTTGGGATGGTGTGCTGCGATCTGCAAAATTGTGGCCAGGTTCGAGGGCTGCTGGGGGCTCCAGCACGGTGTAGGCCCCCGGGGTTTCAGATTAGACCTCGTCTTCCATGGGGGGCTGCGATCTGCGAAACTGTAGCCATTTTCGAGGGCTGCTGAAGGGATCGAGCACAGTGCGGGCATAGGGGGATTCAGATTAGACCTCGCCATCCCGGGGTGGGCTGCGATCTGAAGGACTGTCGCCAGTTTCGAGGGCCTCTGGGGGTCCAGCGATGCAGAGTAGACCTCGCCATCACTGGGATAGGGGGCTTCGATCTGCGAGATCGTCGTCACTTTTGAAGGCTGGTGGGGGTCCAGCGCGGTGCAACATTAGACCTCGCTACTTTCGAGGGCTGCTGGGGGTGAGGGGCAGCGCAGTGACGTCACCCAGACTCAGCTTAGACCGCGGCATCCCCGGGGGGGGGGCTGCGACCTGTGAAACTGTCGCCACTCTCGAGGGTTGCCCAGGAACCCCAGCGTCAGCCTTCATGCCCTTCTATTGGTGTTTGGCGCGTCGTGCAGCGCGCGAGCCTCCCACGTAGCTTTCACGCTGTCACCGCTAATCAGAATTGCCAATTGTTCTGACCAATTGTTATTGCCAATTGTTCTGACCAATTATCAACTCACAGCGAGAGGAAGTGGGGTCGGGGTCTTTCGCCGACCGCGACCGCTGCAGGGACGCCATCCGCCCAAGGCTCGCCATGGGGAAACCAAAAGGTACTGGTAACTACCGCTGCTCCCTGGAAAGTCTCCCAGGGTGCGTTCTGACCAGCAGGACTTCGAGGCGAATCCAGCTGGCGAGGACCTCCGATGAGGCGGAGGCCCGGACAGGCGAAAGCGGAGGGAGCCAATCGATACCGGCACAGGCTTCAAAAGCCAGCGACCGTCTTGTGGTAGTCGCGCCAGTAATGTTCCACTAATTACGCGGACTGGTCGCCGCCGTCGCAGTTGGCCCGCCGCGCACCACGCTCTTCTTGGCAATGCGGCAGCGCGGCCGCGCGCGACAGCTCCGCCCCGGGGCCAGCTCGGCTGGGCCGCGGCCGCTACCGCCACCGCCGACGCCGTCGTCGCCCGCAGCACAGGGCATCGGCCTCTTCTCGGGGTTCGGCGTGCCGTCCTCCGCCTTCCCGCCCCCCCTTCCTTCCTCCTCCCGCGCGGCTGCCCTCGTCTTCTTTCCCTCCTCCTGCACGTGGTCAGAGCCCCGAATCATCAGGGGTAACTCGGGTCAGGGATAACTCGGGTTCGTTTTTCGGGAATCCAAACCCGAGTTACCCCGGACCCGAGTTACCCCGGATATTTCGGGCGTCCAGAGCCCCGAATCATCAGGGATAACTCGGGTCAGGGATAACTCGGGCTCGTTTTTCGGGAACCCAAACCCGAGTTACCCCGGACCCGAGTTACCCCGGATAACTCGGGCGTCCAAACGTGGGACAATTCGCCCTGCCCCGAGGGCCCTCGCGCTGGAGCGTGCTGCCTCCTGCTTCGCTTCGCCGACGGAAAAAACACAGTTCCAGCCTCTGCCGCCTCCCGACGGCCCCGGGGCCCGGCGAGAAGGCCCCCGCGAGGCCGACGGTGGCCAATATAACCGCGCGTCCTGATTTGCTTTGCCACCGTGCGAGCGCCCTCGCCGGAGCCGCCGCCGCCGCCCCCCACACGGACCGCGGCCGCGGCCGTCACGGCCACCGCCGCCGCCGTTGTCGCCATTTCTGTCACTGTCATCAGCGCTGCTGCTGCCACCGACGAGGACCGTGTTCATACAGTGGAGGCCCGTGCCAAGAAGCACCCTGCTTGCCTCCAGGGTGCCCTGGGTTTCTTGGGTTTCGATGGCTTTGCTGTGGAAGGCGTGACATTCCCACACCCAAAACCAATGGACGTCCTGCGGTCTCAGGGTTTGGTTTCCTGTGCAAGGTTTCTTGTGGTCGGGCCTCCGAAGTGCAAGGATGGTCGATCGAACCCCGATCCTCTATCGAACCCCGATCCTCGATCGATCCTCGAATCTCGATCCTCGACTGGCACCGTCGCCGCCGCCGCCGCCGCCGTGGCCCCCCCTCCAAGAGGTGACCCTGGACCGCCAGCAGGCGGAGGCCGCCTGCCGCGAGCGCCTGGGCGTCCCCAGCGCCAACCACGCCGCCAAGTTCTGAGCCCCACGCCTGGAGAGCAAGGCAGGGCAGGAGGCCACGTGACGAACCCTACCTCGCCTCCTCCTCCTCCTCCTCCTCCTCAGGAGGAGGAGGAAGAGGAAAAGGAGGAAAAGGCAGAGGAAGAGGAAAGAGGAGGAGGAGGAGGAGGAGGAGGAGGAGGAGGAGGAGGAGGAGGGGAGGGGAGGGTGCGCCTTCCCCCGAGTTCTTCAGGGGGGGAGGTGGGGCTCCCTTCGCTCGGAACGGAGCGAACCCCACCTCGCCCCCCAGAAATCGCGGGGCTCGCGGGGTAGAGCTCGCACGTAGCCTCCTGCACGGGAAGCTCCCGCTCGTCTCGCATTGGCCAGCAGCCACTGGTGCCCAACAGCCACTGGCGCCCACGAGGAGCCCCAGACAGCGCCCAGCAGCGCCGAACTTCGAGCAACGCTGAATCAGATACCACCCAATGGCCAATGGCGGCATATGCGGGAGGCCCGCTTCGCGCGTTACTGGACGCGACATCGGGCACCGGGGGGACGATTAGAAGCTTGTGTGAGTTGTTTTCCAGTTGGGCGGCTCTCCAGCGGCTGTCCGCGTTGCCAGACTCTGGCGTCACAGAAGGAAAGGGCACGGATGCACCAGGGCTGGACCTAAACGGTGTTTTTTGGCGATCTCGTGGGCCGTTTTTGTTTCGACTTCGTTTTGCGGTAAAGGCGGATTCGAGACAAAGGCGAGGGACAACGAAAACGAAAAACACCGTTTAGGTTCAGCCTTGGGATACACTACGAGACGGACGAGACTGCTGTTTTATCCTCGGGCGATGGCGGGCGTGACCAGGGAGGGGAGGGCTGGGAGTGAAGGGGAAGATGCGCGTACGAGACAGCTGCTTGGTTCCCCGGCGATGACGGGCGTGGCTAGCGGGGGTGGGAAGGGGCCGGGCTACGTCGCGATTCGGACGTCGGTGGCGCGAATCGCGAAGTGAGCATGGCAGGAGAGGGGGGGCGGGGCCAGTCGCGGGCCGTATCGGACCAATAAGAAACATGGGGTTCTGCCGGCTCTCTTCCCTCGCTCGCGCCTCGTTGGGCCCTCCCGGGAGGTCCTCGCCGCCTCAGCTGGTCACGTCTCGGCGTCTTGGTCCGAACGCACCCTGGAAGATGCTCGGGGAGCAGCGGTACGTGTCCCCCTGCAGGCCTTGGGCGGAAGGCACCTTAGCGGTCGAGGTCGGCGAAGGGCGCCGACCCAAGCTTCCTCTTGTCATCGTGTGAAGTTTCTTGCTTCCGGGAGCCATCTACACCTTAGGCGATGCTTAAGAAAACCCAAGTTTTCGGCCAGAGTCTCGATTATTCTTAATAGTTCAATGTAAATCCTAAGATTTTGATAGAAATGTTGGGTTTTTATTCGAGTTCTGAGACCATGAATTTCTTAACCCATGATTTCTTAACCATTTCGCGTGCTGTACAGGCTCCAGGCGGGCAACCTAACCTTTTCGGGATAGAAAATTCGACCTAGGGAAGAGGTCGAGGCCTCTTGGGTCGGACGAAACTCGGATCGCCGAGGGGTTTGCTAAGAAGGTGGTGGGTTTGCAAGTGGATGCGAAGGGTGGTAATACCTGGCCGAACCTAGCTTGTCAGTGAGTTACAAATGCCCTAAGTGGCCTCAGGGCGCACAGATTCGGGCCAAGCGGGCGGAATCCACTTAGCAGAGCGATTTGGAGCACCCGAAGCGACTCAGGGCATGTATAACCCAATTATAAGAGAGGCTAGGCCAGATACAACCCACCTCAGCATCCATTTCTGACCTTTTTTCCGTAGCAAGCTCCGCGGTGATCCAAGGAGGTGATTGGGAAAGGGAGGTTTACGACAGTTGCTGCATGCAGCTGGTTTCGGCCATGCCGCCGAGCGCTTTTCTCAGCGCATTGGCTGGAGGCGCTGGGAAAACCTTCTAGGTCTCGGGCGAAGAAAACTATGCACATGCACCGATCCTGGCAAGACCCATCCTTGACCCAGGATCGGTGCATATGCCTTCCTGGCCAAGGTAGGAGGGCGTATGCACCGATCCTGGGCTCAGGATGGGCCTGGCCAGAATCGGTGTATGTGCATAGTTCTTTTTCCCCTGAGGTCAGCGGGCGCAAAGATGCGGAAGTGATCAGGCGCCGGTCTGGCCACTGGCCGGACGCGCCGATCACAGATCGAGGTGCAGCAGGAAAAGGAGAGAGAAGAGAGACGGCTACAGGGCAGGGGCCGCTCCTCCTCCTCCTCCCTCTCCTCCTCCTCCTCCTCCTCCTCTTCCTCCTTCTCCTCCTCCTCCTCCTCCTCCTCCTCCTCCTCCTCCTCCTCCTCCTCCTCACCTTCCTCCTCCCTTGCCCCCCCTTGCCCCGCCGACCTCCGGTCGCGCGCCGCCCCCTCATCGAGGATAAAAAACGCCAGCCCTAATCACATAGTGAAGACGTGGCCTCACTAAGGTCCCCCTCCTGTCTCTGCCTCAGGGATAAGAAGTCTGGGCGTTCTGGCTTCACACATCTGCAACAAACACCTCCTATCCCTGACGTTTTTTGGCCTCCCCACTTGGGTCGCCAGAGGATTGGGGGTCCCTTTCTTGCTGATCATGCAGGCCGAAGCGGGGGTGACGGGATCATGCAGGCCGAAGCGGGGGTGACGGAGCGCAAGGCGCCAGCGTGCGGCTGCAACAGGCGCAGAGGGAAAGCCGGCTGCGTGAGCCGATGCCCTGGCAGTCACCCCCCCCCTCACCACCCACCAAACCACCCCAACCCAACCCGAAGGCCCAAATTTATCCTCGATTTCCAGTGGGGGGGGGTCGGGGAACGTTGAAAAAACACATGGGATCCGTACCCCCCCCAACCCGAAATTCGGGTCGATTTCGGGTCTTCGGGTTGGGTTGGGGTGGTCTGGTAGGTAGTCACCCCCTGGGGAGCCCCCGCCCCTCCTCCCGTCCGACCCGAGCCTCGCAAGAGGTCCGAAGGCTTGTCTTTCTTTCCCTGCCTGCCGGTCGTTGAATACAGGCATTTGTCTTGGCTCGGGAGCCTTGAAACGGGGGTCAATGCAAACGGGGGTCAGCCAGAGCGCCCGATCTTGCAGGATCCTGCACGGCCAGGGTCGCATTGACCCGGGTTTGGGTGCAGGATCCTGCAGGATCCTGCAGGATCCCTCGCATTGACCCGGGTTTGGGTGCAGGATTTTGCAGGAGGTTGCAGGATTCTGCAAGGGCTGACCGACCCGGGTCTGGATTGACCCAGGTCAGGAGATCCCCGATTGGCGACGAAAGCCACGCGGCCCCACGAGGGCCCCAAGAGACAATACTCGGGCTCCAATGGGGGCGACACTGGCAGAGGGCCCCCTCCCTGATTGCGTTGATGGCCTCCGGGATGGCTTCACGAGGGCCCGGAAGAGTCCCAAAAGGTCCCCATGAGCGGTCGCAGAGGCCCGGAGTCTTCGTTTTTGTTTGCATGCCCGCCGGTCTTTGAATCTAGGATTTTGTCTTCGTTGGCAAATTGTGGGAGCCTTGTATACCCTCGTGATTTCGTGTCTCGCGTCGATCAGCGTCGATCAGCGTTTTGCAGTCGATGATGTAGCGCCGATTCAGCGACAGCTTGCGTCAATGAGCATCGATTTAGCGACGAGCAGCGTCGACTAGCGCCGATACGCGTCGATTCGCAAAAGCCGACAGGATGGTATGGGAGGCTCCAGTGAGTTGTCACCTATTTTTGTTCGGGCGTCGGATAAATTGGCCGTGGGAGAACGGGTCCCCAGGAAAGCGGGTCCAGAGGTGTGTCGTTGTCTTCGGGCTCTCGGGGATCTCTCCACGGGGCCGAAAACGACTCGGGAGGAAAAACTCGCACTGGGGGAGGATCCCAGTTCCAGGACCCGTTTCCCTCAGGACCCGTTTCCCTCATGCCAGATCTATACATACAGTGGAGGCCAGTCCACAAGAAACCCTCCACAAGGAACCCAACCTTGAGACCCCAGGGCATCCCTTGATTTTTGGTGTGGGGACGTCATGCTTTCCACAGCAAGACCATCGAAACTCAAGAAACCCAGCGCACCCTGGAGGCCAGAAGTGTGTGTTCTTGGCATGGGCCTCCACTGTATATGTTGCCCCCTGTCCAGGCCCTACCTGGGTCCAGGAGCTGTGCATACCTGGCCAATCCAGGAGGGCGTGGCGTCTATACCGCTGCTGGGCTCAGGATGGGCCTGGCCAGGGAGCAATGGATGAGTAAAGGTTTCGTCGCTCTGTCCCAGATCCCCATCTACTTCAAGCGCCTTCCTACTTAAAGTCGGCGGCGAGCGACGGGGGTTAATGAGAAGGAGAAGGCCTTTTCAGAAGGCGGCGGTACTTCTCAGAAGCCCTCGCGCCTTCTGATAAGTTTTTTGTATCTTCGTGGAAGGCTTAGGAAGACTTCTCAGAAGGCCAGGGGACTTCGAGCCTTCTGGGAAAGCCCGCCCCTTCTCACTTCCCCCCCTCGCTCGCCGCCGATCAAGGATCGATCGGTGTTTGATGTGTCTGTTTGTTTGTATTTGTGGGCGAGCTTAGACCCCAATTGCTTTGTCCGCCTTCCTGCTCCATTTTTCCGCCTGCTTCTTCCGACTGGCGTGAAGTCGGGCATGTCCCTTTGCACAGGAGGAAAACTCCGGAATAGTCGAACATGATATGGCGACGATGTTTCGTGCTCCTTTGGCTTATTGTTCATGTTGCTGTGGCTTCCTCTTATGATTTGTCTTTCCAAATCCGCCTGCAGGAGGGCATGGCCGACCTAAAACTGGCCAGCACACGGTTCCGGGATGTCTCGACCCACTCCTTTTGGGGCCAGCTAGTCGTTCTGTAGTAAGCGCTACGGTCCTTGGGGCCCAGAGTGGGCCCCTTACTGGGCCGAAAGGTGTGGAGAACCGTTGCCTCAGTTCTTTCAAGGCGCTAGATTCGAGCAGTGACGAAGCGTCCTGGCTCGCCTATAGCCCTACCAAACAATGTTCTAAGAACCTTTAGTGGTTCCCACGAAATGTTTTTAGAAC